TAAGTGTATATGCTCTAATGACATGTGAAAGCCTGGCGTTTTAACAAAATATTTCAACATGGAAAAATAACAGGAAAAGTATCAGAAAAAATCCATGTGCGCATTCCTTAAATTTAGAAGGTGCTGCTGCACTGTTTTGTGTCTTTGCAAAGTCAGTATTCAGTTTTGAATATGCTTTGGGATTTTGTATATTCCCATCTGTCTTTCTCTTTTCAGTCTACTCCCATGTGCAGTGGTTAGTACTGCTGCCTCCCATCTCTGGGGATAGGGGTTGAGTCTCCATCATTTGCATGTTCTCCCTGTATCATTGTGTGCTTAATTGGAGTTAGCAAATTGCTTGTAGGTGTACCTGAGTGAGTGTGCCATGCGGTGGGTTGGTGCCCCATCCCGGGTTGTTCCCTGCCTTGTGCCCTGTGATTGGTTGGTGCCCCGTCCCGGGTTGTTCCCTGCCTTGTGCCCTGTGATTGGTTGGTGCCCCATCCCGGGTTGTTCCCTGCCTTGTGCCCATAGGGTCTAGATCCCCAGTGACCCTGAATAGGACAAATTGTTAAAGAAAATGGATGGATGGAATTTCCTTTGATACATACAAATTGCAGTTGGTTGGTATTATTATGGTCTATGGTTGGTGTGGTGGCTCACTGTCCACCACTGTAGATTAACTGCCATCTTTAAATTGCCTTTAGTATACGTATATATGTGCGTTCCCTACTGGGCAAAGCCCAGCTGTCCCATACACCCTGCGATAGGCTCCAGTGACCCCTTCCCATATCACAATGCTCACGGCCTAATGGTAATCCACACATCATTAACTGAAAGATTCATTGAAGATGTTTCACAGCATTTGTCCTTCAGGGAGTAGATAGTAAGGCAGTGTAAACAAAGTATCTGAGCATGAAAGGGCATCACACAACAGGTCAGTGTTTGTGCATCCTTGGGAAATTTCCTGTTTTACTCTAAATTTCTAATCTACCTCTTTCTTGTTTTTGATTCGACTTGGACAACCTTGGGTAATCACACACAACATTACACACAAAATCGCAACTCGCTGAAAGGAAAAACAAATGTCGAAGGCCATGTTACGCTCACCCCGAAAATGGATAGGTAGATCCAAAACTTTCCTATACTGTACCAGGGGTCCCCAGCTGAACCAGTGATTCCGAGGGCCAATCGAGGTTCCATCAGCAACACAACACGAAGGTTCACTGAAAGGAACCTTTCACTGAAAGGAAAGGAGTCAATCACACATCTCCCCAGATTCAACTGTATTTCGGTCCTGATGCAAACTGGGATCCAGCAGTTGGTGACAAACAGACTAAGGGTGTACTCACACCAGGCCCAAATGCCTTGTACCATGCTCGGGCACAATTGTCCCTCTTCCCTACTCCCCCCACTGGTCTGTACTCACATTGCGCTTAATGATCCTGGCCTGAGTACACTTATATGATTTCGGTGTGACTTTTTCAAGTTAAAGAAAAGAATAGAAAGGGAAATGCTGTCACGCAGAACAGTGCAGTGCATGATTAATGTCCTTATTTTTGTGGCTTATTTGGAGTTTTTTTAGGCAGAATGATACAAATAGATTTATCTAGTATTTTTATTAAATTGTGCTGCATGTATAAGAAGGCTGTCCCATATTTTACCAAATATTCTACTGCCACGTTTGTGAAATGTTTGTCGCTACCCAAGCGTTACGTGTCATTGTTTTTCACAACGCAGTTTTGTGTAAAAAAATGATGCAGTCTGAACCTATCCGATCCATTCCTTCCAGGTCCGGTTCTTGTACAGTGTACATGTGTGTGTGCGTGTGTCAGTCACATCATTGACGTCATGTTTGTTCCGTGCCCGGGCATCATTAGCGGTCACTGTGCCCGATGCTTACCGTGCCCAAATCCAGCTAACCATGTCATGCACAATATCATGCATGGCACAATATGCAGTGATCGCACTGCTCAAACGAACTGGACTTTGGGGGTTAAATGTGCTTGGGCATAAAACAGATTGCCTAGTGTGAGTACAACCTAAAATGTCCTACTCCCTGAAAGTCCTTCACCTCAAAAGGTTACAGATTAAGTTTTGTGGTAGATTCCCAGTTTGCCAGTGTGTCCTTGGCTGGTGCTTCTCTCTTATCCTACCTGCTCCCTCTCTATCTAATCTCTGTTTGCTTTTGTAAACAAAGTGTTACTCAATGTGTTACTCATGCCCGTGTGGCTTGATTGTGCTAATTTATCAAGCTACATCCCAGTATTCCCATAGTGCTTCTGCAACTGGCGAAATGCCGTGTTACTCAGAAAATGTTGGCAGAATGTCTAAGTGAGACACTGCAGCACTGCTCAAAGTTGACAAGGAAGAAATATGTCTCCCGCATGTTGTTGTGAGCTGTGTTGATCAGCCTATTAGGCAACATTGGTGGCTACCTGGGGGGCCATCTTCTGAGGGGGGGTCCACTTTGGAGACCAATTTCACTTTGTCTCGGCCACGGTACCGAACCGTTACAAACACACAGCACCTGGGAAATGAGGGACCAGACCATTTCCTTCTTGGGATCAGTAGAACCTGACCTGACCGTGCCCCCCCCCCCTCGCCCAAGTGCGAGACTAATCCATTCTCCAGGTGACAGGAGATGAAAGGATCTTCCTTCCTTATGGAGGTCCTTTAAAGTGTGCGATTGACTTCACAGTATGACATAAAAACTAATGCAGCGTTTAGGGTTGGGGTTTGGGAACCACCTGGCTAGGCCAACCTACTGCTGGTCCAGCACAGAATAGGGAGAAAGCGAAAAAACGACCTGGAGAGATTGTGGTTCAGCTTGGAGGAGTAAGACGCACTGGAGTGTAATTGATTTGTATTGGGTTTTTGATTTATTTGGGCAGGTGCTGCAACTTGACTCCTCTGAAACTAAATTAGGAGATACCTTTGTGTCTTTGCCATCTTAAGTCCCAGGAAGGGCCCTGCTCCTGAAAGTACTTGGCCTAATTTCCTTTGTTAAGATATCATTCTCTATACATGGGTAAAATTGCAATGGTCTTTTGGCTATTTGGCTAATCATAAAAGCATGAGGTTGAAGAGTGTCTTTTTGGCTATTAGTGTGAAGAGCAGGAAGTCCATTTCTGCGTGTAGCTGTCCCCGTCGAATTTGATTTGGCATGATGCTCAGTTCATGCAATATTTTCTGTATGATTGCTTGCCTTCTTTGGGTAAGCATGTGCCATCACCATGTGCCCAATCAATATGTTTCACAGAATATTCCTGGCCATAGTTCACTTTCCTCAGGCTCAGCCTTGGGAATCCCTTTATGTCTGAAAAGCAGATGTCACCCCTATATTGTTTTTTGACCATGACGGCTTGGCGAGGCTCTCAAAGCAAACTTGTGCGCTGGCAGCTCTGTGTCCACTATGGGGACAATGTGGAGACACGTGAGGTTGTGGCTGAAAGTTATGAACATCTGAGTCAACTTGTCAAATGTCTGATCGGACAAATCTGTTGCAAAGCCTGTAACTTCAAAGGGATGCCAGAGAGGAAATCCACAGCGACTACATCAGAGCAGTTGATCTCACTCTCTCACTCATCTGCATTCCTCCTGGAATCTGGACATCTTTAAGCAGAATTCCCAACTGTCCCTCTGACTGATTATATTTATTATGCCTAGAAAATAATAAGCATGGTTTTCCAAACCTGGGAAGGGGTTCGGCAGAATGCTTTGGTGTAAGGTGGTATCAGCCTGCTCCCCCTCTCCTGTCTCTTTCATCTTTCTCTTCTCTTTATGCTTTTACATAGATGGAGGCCAGCTGACAGTGTCTGACATATCGCTCCTCATCTAGGCCCCAGGGTTCCTTTGTTCCTCAGCAGGATGCCGATGGGATCGCTAACAGCTTACCGATTGTACATATACCTCTGTGCGTATTTGTGTGTTTGTCAGAGCTAGTCTTCAACCACAGTGATGTCTGTGTGCTTGATTTATTGTTGGTCTTTGTAGGTCCTTCTCCTGTCAAGCAGCCCTGATCTACAGAAAGCACATTTCAACTCTATCTCCTTCTCGGGTCTTTTAGGGATACACTTAAAATTCAAAATGGAATCAAAATACCATCCAGGGCTTGTTATCCTTCCTTACTTTATTGATTCCCATTAAGTTAAATCTGTCAGTGATGTAAGTAACCCCTAATATACTGAAGCGTACATTCTCATACATTAAATAAAATCTGACAGCTTCTAGATTCATAAGGATACTTTAATGTTACGATATACAAAGACTGAACAGCTGAGTATTATGTTTCAAATATATCAGCTATCATCAAATATATTTTAGCTACAGAATATATCCAGCTTCTGTTATGTGTAAGAATGTTCCTGAAAAGTAGCTTCTTTGTGCTATAAAAAATGGGCATTAATCACTATAAAGAGCTTGCTGAGAGCCTGTAAAGCTGTTTTTGATCAAATCTTATGATAAATGCAACAGACCAAAGCTTATGCTATGAATATACTTCTCTTCTAAAGAGCAAAAAGCTCTGGTTTACACTAGTCTAGTTAACACCATTAGAAAAACAACAAATAAAAAAAAACAGACTCAACTCACTCATCTGCAAAATCAGAAGTCGTGTTCAGCAATGGATGGCTTTACGTTTTACTTTGTGAAAGCTTGAAGCAACCGGACCTTTTTATCCAGGAAATGTTTTAGGTGCAGGTCAGGAACAAAAGAACAATTAGCACCTACTTGCATCTTGCTCTACTCAAATGAGTGCCATGAGTCACTGAGTCACTAACAGCCTGCCCTTGCATGTTGAGGTAGACATCTTAAAGTGCAGCAAGTTCAGTGTCACAATGACTGCACTGTAGTCTGTGCATTACACCCCTTACATTCTTGGTGAAAACGCAGCACTCCTTTATTACTCAATGCTTTATTACCCTCCTTTATTCCCATATCCTGTCTCTTCTTGGGGAGATGTATTGTACTTGGGAAAACAGTGAAACATGTTCTGCAGACCTCAGCCCTTTCCCCACCCTCACTGCCCCTCGGTGTTGAATAGGCTCAGGTCGTCCATCAGCTCATCAAGGGTCAGCAGCATTAACGTCTTGAGCAGACACACCGCAATGACGTCTCCAGTGACGTGCTGGGACATCTCCCGCGGTAATAAGCGAGGGTCATGCTGCCAATGCACCCATCCCTAATTGGGCACTGCAGTGGACCCAGAAACCATAACAGTTGGTTTTTGTACTTCCCTCCAAGGCCACAGGAATTGTCAACCAATCTGCTTCTTCCTTGCCGTACTTTAACAATTATTACATTAGTATCGAGCAGGATGTGGCTGTGGTCGGCCACTGCATTTTTGGCTTGCGTCTCGCACATATGATTTATGTCCTCCTTGGCTGCTTGGGGTGCGCGACATAGCGCCGAACCATTAATGCCACCTACCACAAGGGAAGTGCACCAGTCTGCTCGGCCCCTGCAGCCCTACAGCTGCAATGAGGTAATAGTTCAATTCCCCTGTCTGACTGAGAGAATATTGCCTCTTTGAATTGTAGATCTTGGTTGCTTAGCTAAAACTTTCTTCCAAATCAATGTACGATTTTGCATATTCAAACAGCTGGGGTATTTTGTTGAGGCAATTCATGTGAATAGTAAATTTTTGACTCATTTTGAACATCTCGCAGAAGGTATTCTCCACGCTGCCACCTTGTAATCTGAGCTCTGTGACCCTATAATGTTCAGGTCACAAGTCCTTAGCCACTGCACATCAGTCACCCCCTTCTAACATGGGCAGAGAAACCTATAGATGTCTTGGCCTCTTTCACATGGCTTTTGGGATTTCGCATGGTGATAGATTTCGTCGCTGCGGTTTCTCCTTGACGCCAAGGTACAGTCTATTGTCTCAGGCTAAAAATTCATGCCACATGCAGTGCTCTAGAGCAGAATTAACCATATTTTCTCTTTTTATTCTTTTCAGTAGTGGGGAATAACAGTGGTGTCTTAGTGTGCAGACAGGCTATCACTCCCTTCTTTGATCTTTGGTCTGGGCCTCTAGGTCTGAGTAAGGGGAGTCATCCCCATTTCCCTCGATGACAGCAGTTAATGGGGTCCCGTCCCCTTCCTGTTAGAAAGTTTGACACCTGGATCTGTCTACAGCTGTCAGGAAACAAAGTGTTAAGCAAACACTGTTTACTCTGGTCGTAATTCTGCTGACAGCACTTTGCTATGGGTTGGGATGGGGGACGAGGATGTGGGACTGTTATGGATGCTTGTGGTTCAACTCCCTGGGGTCAGCTGTTAGACAGAAACAGAGGAAGAGGTTCCATTCCAGAGGAGTGGGATCTCTGAGCTTAATGTTCAAAGCCCACCATCTTGCTCCACAAGAAATGACCTGTGTTGGGGTTTCTCTCCAGTCTCAAGCTGACATCATGAAAAGAGTACATGAGGTTGAGCCAACTATGCCATGAGGAACATCACGCAACAACTTCATTCTTATCATTTGCTAATATTTGCTACCAAAAAATGTTTACGATGCTAATAAAGTGGTTTGAAAATAAACACACGCAAAACATTTCAAGAAATCATGAATGTTATTGACTAGAAATGTTCACAGTTAACACTGAAACATTGCTTCCTGTCTGCTGGTGACTCTGGAAAAGTGTGATGACTTGGCCTGTCAGTCACTGAAGCACTTCCTGCCAAGACTGTGGGTAAAGACAGCTGATAACTATCTTCAGTTTAGTGGTTCCATCTCCTATCAACAGGCTCCTTTCAATTGGACTTGGTCCAGGAAGATGACACCTCCTCCCTCCTCCCTTCTCTCAGCACGTGGGCACTTGGGTGGCGGGACTGACAGATACACTTGTGGATGTGTGAATGTCCAGGACGAATGCTGCCCAGAGGAAGACAGGCGCAGGTGGAAGAACCAGAAAAGGCACAGGGCCCTTTGACACAATCTGATGCAGTGATGGGATTGAATCTCTGGGTGGCAGTGTGGAGAAATACTAATGCTATCATCAGTCAGGCCAGGACAGTCCCATCTCCAAAGCACAGTTCAAACAGCACTATGTCTAAAATAATGAATAATGTATTAAGGGTAATAAATGAAACTACTCAAAGAACTGTGATGCAGTACACATCACATCAAGAGGTAAAAGATTTAATCAGGAGGCGATAGCACCATCACAGTGACTCAACAATGTCAAACTAACAGATTTATCTCAAAACCAGAATGCCAGAAATTATTGCTATATAGTTTCTGCTGCTCTGATATTTCTTTAGTGTTTGATCGCCAAACTTAAACACCATTTTCATATCTTACTTTACACACAGGTCTGGAAAAAAATTGAGACCACTCTATATATTTTTAAAAATCAGCATTTTTAAATCCTGGTTTAATCCTGGTTCCGCTGGCAGAAGGCTACACTGCACGGCCAGCTGCTTCCAGGTTCGGAGTTTCTAAGACAGCAGTACATGAGAACAATGTGAAGCAGGAGACACTGGAAATAACCAGAAACCAGCCAGATAGAGGGCAGAAGCGTCAACTGATCTGCCTCATAAATTGGAGGATGACCTCAAGTGACCTTCAAAAAGAATGGGAAACATTAAGTGGTGTGAAGTGCACTGCTAGGACAATGAATAACAGGCTCCTAGAAGCAGGACTGAAGTCCCATAAAGTAAGGAAGAAGCCCTTCATTAATGAGGAGCAGGGAAGAGCCAAGCTGCAGTTTGCAAAAAATATATATTTTACACAGACAGAAATGAGTGAAACAGTGAACAAGTGGTCTTTTAATTTTTCCCAGAGCTGTACCCAAAACATTCTTATGCAGTGCATTGTTTACTGCACCTGACTTATTATGACCCAAGGGATTTTATTCTAAAAAGGAAATAAATGACATTTTGGTGAATAACAAAACATTAGAAAATCTAGAGAATTTGCAATGACTTGATCCTCCATAAACATAGGATACTCCTTTCAAGTCTGGATTACGTCTGAGTCAGCGCAGAGCTAAATGTATCTTTTGTTTGGTTGTTTTTGTGTAATAAAGACAAGGTACAGTTCAAGGGCATGTTTCCCCCCCACAACATCCATCAGCGTCACGTTTCACCTCAGCAAACCTCAAAAACATATGGAAGTTGATACCAAACGTTTCATGACTTGTGAGTCATTGATTAACATTTACCCCCCTGCAGGGTCAGGTTCTCTATTATTGTGCCGCAGTTTGAAGAAAGTTAGGAAATCATGTACACAAACTCACAGATGCAGGCATACGCACACAAACTCACAGATGCATGCATACGCACACAAACTCACAGATGCATGCATACACACACACACTCAAAGATGCATGCATACACACACACTCACACAGATGCATGTATACACACACACTCACAGATGCATGCATACACACACACTCACACAGATGCATGCATACACACACAAACTCACAGATGCATGCATACACACACACTCACAGATGCATGCATACACACACACTCACACAGATGCATGCATACACACACAAACTAACAGATGCAGGCATACACACACACTCACACAGATGTAAATACAGGGACAAGCATGGAGCCTATTCACCGGCCTGCATTCAGTAATTCATAAATCTCTGCTGGCGGTTCATTCTGTTCCTCCGCAGGTTAGGCCCACTGACTCTCCTTCTATGGCGCTAGTAGCTACAATGTAAACGTACTTCCCTCTTGGCCGCGTGACATGTCACTGAACAGCTCTACAGGGTCTGCAGTCTAGCACAAGGCAAATTAACCAGCGAGTCAAACACTAATTGCAACGAATTCAGCAGGACGAGGCTAAATGGGCCATTATGCTGACTAAGCACCAGTCCAGAGCCCAGACCAGGCTGCTAATTAGATGGTACACAGCAAAAGTAATGAATGCCAATGAGCGATTATTATGGGATAGGTATCGATTTCCTTTTAGTTACAAACTGAATAAAAGGAACGTAGATCCATTATGGTGTCATAAACCAGATGACTACCTATTTGGGGCAACGTTTCTGCAGACTAATAAAGACAGCAGGCTGGATAAGCATGGGATTATATTATTGCATTACAGTGCTGGGTTCAGTATTATGAGAATCGGGTTGACTTTCTTATATGTTGAAATTCTGTAATCAAATCCTGTAATAAAGGAGTTGAAAAGATATGGGAGCAGAGGTTGTGCAAATGGACCCGAGCGATACAACGAAGCCTGTAATGAGATTGGCGATGCGGGGAATGTAGGAATGGGACATGAAACCCCTATTTACAGTATATGAAATCCCAGCCTCATGTCGGGCCAGACAGTGCCATGCATTCCCTGAGGATTAGAGATGAACCGCTATGGTCCCAGATAGAAGTCGTAAGGTATCCTGATCCAGTGACACCACGCTCTCACCTGTTTGGGTTGATTCTGAGTGTCACGCAGTAGATTCTCAGCTAATAACTGTCATTAGCTCTGAGGTGAACTCCTTTATGTTTTCCCTGCGTCATGCTATATTTGTCAGTGTGAGGGTCTACAGTTCATCAGAGTAATTGGACAGAGGTTGTTGAGCAGCACTGCATGTCAGTGACTCTTCCTGGCAGGGTCTGGGGCACATCCAGGCAGGAGCAGCATGGGCAGTTGCCCAAGGGGGCATCTTCAGGGGAGGTGGTGACTTTTCAAACTGCTGGCGCCACAAGGCCAACCCCCCCGCCTAAACAATTTAACCATTGCCATCCCCCCACTCCCTAGTACACGTATGTTTTATCATCCATCCCACTGTTTTAAGTTCATCCTGCAGTGCCAGTCCCAGCCAATGTGGCAGCCTAGGTGGGCATCACGCCCAGTGCCCCCTGTCTGAAGAAAAGTCACATTGGCTGGCAGGTCAGCACCCCTCAGAAGTTGGTGCCCAAGGCAGCCGCCTATGTCGCCTATACTGTTGACCAGCTAGATTTACATGTATAAAAAACGTTGGGCAGTGAAATTCTCCCTGTGCAGTGCGGCTTGCTTAGGGCACCACATGGGCTTTGACCCACACTGCTGAGAGCGACACTACAGTGTGTTTCTAAGAGGGGTTTGCAGTGCCTGACGGGAAGGAGACACGCCACAAGCAAGCAGCAGGGGTCCTCAGACCATCCTCTGGCACGTCCTGCTTT